AGATTAGGCCAGTTAAAGTGAAGGTAGGGGTAGGTCAGACCATAAGTATTAGATTTACGCATAAGGGGCTGAAACAACACCCGGATATGTGTGTGTGATAGTCCAAGATGATTCCTGTGTTTATGTTCCTATGAGTAATGTTTCAGAGCAGCCAGTTTGTTTGAGTCCGGGTGCGGTTTTAGGTGAATATGAAGTAGTTAATGATGAGGAATTCTGTTACTTTGATGATGAAGGGAATAATCTCGGAACTACCTCACACATTTATGAAGAGTTAGGTGAGGTAGGCCGGTCTGTAGACATACCCCTGTGCTCACCACATCACCTGGCCATACAGAGAGAAAATGATAAGAGGTCTAACAAAATCCCTTAAGACTGACGCATGATGTGAAATTCCCAACTCAATGCTTACTTTGTAGGGGTATGGAAAATTCCCCAGTCCACAAAATTAGACGAGCTCAGGAAGTACTAAATTCTATGGTACCAGACTGTGATGAAGTGACACGTGGGGAAACTAGACAGGACAAATTAAAAGAGTTAATTAGGACCCAGCAATGGCCACACTTGGATAGGGACATGCGGACACAGTTGCAACAGGTGGTAATGAATCATGATGCATTGTTTGTATTAGGTCCAAATGAAATAGGCACCATTAAGGGTTTGCCAGCTAACATCCCATTGGTCAATGAACAACCTGTAAGAGGACCTCAGTATAGGTATCCCGAGAAAGCCAAGGGTACTATTAAAGAAATGATGAGAGACATGAGAGATAGGGACATCATTGAACCATCAACCGCTGTCTGGCTATCACCTATCGTGTTAATAACTAAACCTAATGGATCGAAACGTATGTGCCTCGATTTCCGAGCAGTCAACAAACACCTGAAAATAGATATACAACCTTTGCCAAGATTGGATGAATTAGTTGAGAAGGCTGCCGGAAATAAATATTATGCCACCTTAGATTTGAAGGATGCTTACTATCAGGTAATTCTTGACCCCCACAGTAGAGATATAACCACCTTCAGTGATGGGTATAATTTATGGCGGTTCAAACGCCTCCCTTTTGGTTTGTCAGCCAGCTCAGCCGTTTTTACGAGGGAAGTAAACAGGGTCTTAGCTCCTTTAGCAGAAGAAGATTGGGTCAGGAACTATCTAGATGATGTCATAGTGTGGGCTAATGATCTCAATACCCTCATGGGCAGATTGGCTAAAGTATTTGACAGGTTTGTAAATATGGGAATCAAATTAAATCCATCTAAATGTCAGTTTGGTCAAAGACAAGTAAAATTCTTGGGACATATTGTTTCAGAGTAAGGCATTGAGCCGGATCCAGAGAATGTAAAAGCAGTAACACAGTGTAAACCACCCACTAATGTCAAACAAGTCCGACAATTTTTAGGGATGTGCGGGTTTTATCGTAAGCATGTTTCAAATTTTGCTAAGATTGCATATTTTATCACAGAACTCACTATGAAACAAGCTGCCCTTGCTTGGACAGATGAATGCCAGACAGCTTTTGAAACGTTAAAGCGGACATCAGCTTTCTTTCCAGTACTGGTAAAAATAGACATGGATAAACCATTTGGGCTACACAGTGATGCTAGTAATTTTTGTGTAGGAGCGTCACTGAATCAATTACAGGAGGACGGTTCTTTGCGTCCTGTTGGGTATTTCTCTCGGAAGCTAAAGCCCGCGGAAACATGGTATTCCACCACTGACCAAGAAGCAGTAGGGATCGTGTTAGCCTGTAGATTTTTCCACCATTTTTTGTGGGGTTCCCAATTCACCATCAAGACTGATCACCAGCCGTTAACGTCGGTTTTTAACAAGAAAACTAAAAGTCAAAGAATGAATAGATGGATGTTGGAAATGAGGGATTACATCTATAAGATAGAGTACAAACCTGGTCAGATAAATCTAGTCGCAGACGCATTGAGTAGGCCGGTAGGGGCTTTAAGGAAAGTAGCCAGGTGTAGGACGGCAGGTCAGTTCCCTCAGCTAGAGGGGTTAACGCATAGTCAGTTAGGAATAGAACAAAGAAAAGAAGAGAGATGGGAAGCATTGGCTAGTTATTTAGAAGGAGGACAGGTACCCAAACATAAATATCCCAAGACGACTATTGACAAATTTAAAGTAGTGGAGGGGGTAATGTATTTAGTGAAGGAACAAATTGATAAAGCATTGATGTACTGCCTTGTAATACCTGATCATTTGCGTAGAGCAGCATTAAAGTGGGCACATAACAGAGAGACACCAGGTCACTTAGGACAGTGGAAGACTATAGCCAGAGTAGAGGGCCTTTTCTATTGGCCCAATTATCGCAGAGACTGTGTGAAGTGTGTCAAAGATTCAAAGGGACAAAAGGGTTGGAACAGCAATGGCAGGGGATGTCAGAAGTAACTAAACCTTTGGAGAGAGTATCTGTGGACTTGACAGACTTATATAATAGTGTGAATGGATATCGCTATGTGTTGACCGTCATAGATCACTATTCTAGGTTTGTCAATTTCTATCCTTTGAGAACAAAATCCACTCAGGAAGTGACCAGAGAATTTTGTAAATTCATTAATGTTTTTGGTAGCCCTGGAGTAGTCATTGCAGATAATGGAGGTGAATTTACACCAACACAGTTTAGAGAATTATGTAAAGTAACTGGCATTAAGAACTATTTTACATTGCCTTACCACCCTAGAGGTAATAGTGTCACAGAGAGAATGCACAGGACCTTTAAAACAACACTTGCCATCATGTGTGAAGATAATCCGCTCACAGGATGAGTGTGGGGTGCACAATAAAGTAGCAGCTGCTGTAGCGCAAAAGGATTACAGAGTACAGTTTACAAGGGGTCATAATAATTAACCCCCGTTGTCAGGATATTATGGCACTGAATGTTACACAGTATTTCATTTACATTATTTGTTTAGTTCTATACATAAAGGGTAACTTATTCACAAATGCGTGAGTACAGGCGTGTGAGGCAGTATGTCTGGCCTCACACTTTGTTATTCACATTTACGTGAGAAGTATCCAAGCACATTGTGTATTTGGTTCTGTACATGAGAACTGATATAGTTACTAAGTGCAAAAAAGTGGCTACAATCTTAATATGTCGGCTATCTTGCCATTAGAGATGAAGGTTGTGCCATTTCCTGACACAGTGTGGTTTTAATCTGTCCCTAAAGTTGTCTATCTTCAACAGTCGAGATGAGATTTGAAGCGTAAAATATATGTATGGTTACACACCATATTTAGTTTTGTTTACATCTGCTTGAGTGGTAAAACATACAGTATTATATCCAACCTAGTTCAGCGGTTACAACATCTTGTAATCTATGATTCGTTCTTGTTTCATACATGTTTCACTTGATACATCTCATCATGGTAACCTATGGATCGACTAGTGCCTGTTTGCACTTGTCTACTTGCGTCAAACTCATCAATAAATTTCTTCCTAATTACAGTTTTAAGGTTTTTTTTTTTTTTGACAGACCCAAATTGTATTCAACAGTGTCTTTGTTAGACGCGAGTTTGGCGAGGGCATCAATTTGTCATGTTTTATGAGGCCTATGTAGAGGGGATTCATATTGTTGACCCTGGACACCGGCCGCGCACGCATATTTGTGTCTGGCTTCAGAGACAAAGAGCGCAATACCCTGAGTCGAGGTGCCGGCGCGGGCGCAGGAGGATAGAGAGTCAGTGATGATGAGACTGTCAGTAACAGTGGTTTCAATGAATTTAATAGCTGTGAGTATGGCAACTAATTCAGTTTGTAGAGTGGATGCCCAGTTGTTAATTCTAACTCCTTTCTCAGTTATATTACCGTCAGGTTGAGTCACAACAACAGCACTTCCAGCCCTCCCACAGGCGGTGTTTAGAGATCCATCAGTGTAGATGGTCTGGATGTTACTTCACCGTCCGTAGAGTAAGGTAATCGCCAAGAGCCCTCACTTTTGCAAAAGTTGAGATAATGCGCCAGTATCGAATTTTCTAGGCGGATATATCGGTATTGTGATATCGAAGGGAACTGTCCGCCAAGGTGGCAGGGAGCGCTGTTGTGTCTCAACTTTGTACAGGTGGTCTCGTCCAAACATCTTCATATGTGTAGCTGTAGTTTGGATCCATTTAGACTCGCCAGTCCCATGGTTCATACATTCTAGCAATTTTAAGGAAACAATGTTATCAGAATCACCACGCAGAAGCCTCAGGGCTATCATGAGGTTGACTTCAATTATTCTATCTTTAACACTGGGTATACCTAGTTCTTTCCTCATATTAAGTACTTTAGTGCTCATGGGACATCCTAGGATAATTCTGAGGGCATTATTTTGCATTTTATCGAGTTTGTCAACGCCTTTCCCGTCACGAAGGACCAGGGCTGGTGCGTGGTAGTCTATCAAAGATCTTATATAGCCTAGGTACTGTACATTGTTTTAACAATTCTAATATTAGCACCATAGTGCGGGCTGTACCCCGCTACACTTCTAAGAGGTCTCAGTCTGTCAGTACATTGGCGGGTTAGCTGTTGTATGGCAGGTAGGGTACAAGGGACGGAAACACCAAGATATTTAAAAGAAGAAACATAGTCAATGGTGTTGTTACCTATCTTGAACTTGGCGGGGCCGCGTTTGCGGTTACCAGCTTGTTTGTTGAACACCTTAATTTTCTCAGTGGAGATAATAAGACCGAGGTTCTCACAAGCTGCGTATACATGGTTCAGGGTGGTTTGCATTTCACGATGAGTTTTAGTATGTATAAGAATAGCATCAGCATAGCTGATTGAGATATTGCTGGGGTTGTCTGGTATTAAATTTAATAATGCATTCATAAGAACATTGAACAAAGTGGGGCTAAGTACTCCACCTTGAGGGGTATCAAGTTGCATATCTTTAACTTCACTTTTGTAACCCTGAAACAGTGCAGCAGCCCTTCTGTTGGTTAGGTAACCACTTATCCAGTGTAACAGCCTACCTCCTATATCCATTTTGGCTATTTCGTACAATATCATTTGCCTATTGGCAATATCAAATGCAGCTTTTAGGTCAAGAAATGTGGTGTATCTGTGCCTTTAATCACCATGCACAGTTAGGAATGTGGTGATGCAATTATGTACACTTTTACCATGGGTGAAGCCATTTATGTTAGGAGACGTGTGTTCTCTGATTCTATATAAGAGTCTGCCAAGAACCATCCTCTCAAGGGTTTTACACAGGCAGCTGGTTAGTGATATGGGACGAAAAGTATCAGGCTGTCCTGGTTTCGGTATTGGTACAACAATACTGCTGGTCCATGATGTGGGTAGTTGGCCCTCGGCATGACTCATATTGTACAATACCAACAATGGATTGCCTGGCACGCGCCTTAGTAGTCTAACGATGTTGTAGGTGACTCCGTCCTCTCCAGGGGAAGTAGACCTACCCCTGGCGAGGGCGGCGTCAAGCTCCCACTCAGTATATGGAACATCACACTCATCGTGCTGTTTGCCCAGCATAAAGCTAATAAGATTACTTCTCTCTACAGACTTCGCATCAAGGAGTCCTCGAGTCCTAGTTGGTAACATGTCATAGCTCGACACATGAGCCCACTTTGTTATTAGCTCATTCGACTTTTGCAGAGGGTTTGGATGGGAGACGTGTCTTCTGTTTTTACCTCTGATTATGTTTATGTCTTTCCAGGCTTTGCTGGGGGATGTGTGTTGGTTCAGGCTGTTGACATATGTCTCCCATGCATTTTGTCTGAGCTCGTTTACACGTTCCCTGACAGCAGCAAGGGAAGCTTGATACAATTGTAACATTTGAGGTGTTCTAATTTGTTTGTAACCCTTACCCACCCTCCTGACCCTAGCCCTGAGTTTTTTTTCAGCTCAGGGTCATTATAGCACTGCTGTTGCCTGTTCCCATTA